TTGTCACCTTTTTGCTGCTGCTGCTGCTGTTGGCCACGCTCTTGGCTTGACCATTCCTGCCCACGGCGGGGAGCCCTCTACCATCAGCCTTTGTTTCCAGCCCTGCTGGGCTAATGATCTGTCCTATCTGCCTGGTGTTTGGAGGGCCCCACCCCATCCCACCCCACCCACCATTCTCTCCTGCCTTCTCCTCCACTAGGACCTGATCTGCATCACAGACAAAATCGTTCCTGCGTTCTCCTCTTATATCCTCCCCAGTGTCCCCCCAAAACTGAGTCACATCCCAGTTCCTCCCAGCGTCTGTCTGCAGGGGCTCCAGGAGCACAGTCCTTTGTTAAACCTTCTCCCCATCTCTGTTCTCCCAGCCCTGGTGCTCATTCACTGACATTTCTCAGGCGTTGACCAGCTGGGGCTGGAGAGAAACCGCCCTATGACTGTGGACGGAGAAACCAGGCTCTGAGACCACGCAGCTTCTGTGGCCCCCAGGTTTCTACCAAGTGTCCTCAGCATCCCCCACCAGGCGCCCGGGCCCAAGTGTGGGGCCCTAGGAAGGCAGTGGACTCTGGCAGAAGCGGTTTCAGCAATGAGAAGCGCAGGGCTCTGGCTCCACTCAACAGGGCTTTGGAAAAGCACACTTAATCCTCATCAATGGGAAGAAAATGTCCCAAGCCTTTGAAGCAAGGGAGCCAAAACAGCAGGAGAAATGTTCAAAGTCTGTTCATGAACTGTGGCATCCAGAGTCGCCACCGCCAGCACCGGGCCTCTTCTGTGTGTCTGCCTGGTGACGGGGTGGGGAGGAGGATGGGGGGTGTGATGGCAGAAGGGAAGGAGAGGGTGGCGGAGCTGCATCCTCAGGACTGGGCTCTCTGGTGCACTTCCCACAAGTAGCTACGTTAACGCCTCTTACCCTTACCCTCACAGCATTTCACATAGTTTTTCATTCTCTCAGGATGGGATAAATGCTACAAAAACCTTAAACACAGCATTAACTTTATTTATAAAAAGCAAATATGTCACAGAGCACCTGAACGTGCAGCTCACACTTCTTAGAGCCATTTTAATGTCAAGGGTTCTAGCCTGTTAACAAAAATAAGCTTATTGGACAGACCTATGTCTTCTTTGGGGCTCAGAAAATTGGATCCCACTTTTTCACAAAGGCCCGGCCAGAGTCCGGGGCCCTCTCTGCTCAACTTCCTGCTCCTACTACTACCAGCACATTTGTCGACACCCCTGGCAATTAATCACCTCTCTAGGATCAATGCAAGGCCTAGGTTTTCAGGCAGTAACCAGCCCCCTCAGCTCCCACTCCTCTGGCCCCCCAGAAAGAGGCAAGAGCATGAGGTGAAATGGACCACAGGGATCCAGTTTCTGGAAACCATGGGGGGTTTGTGTGGCTCCAGCCAAACATGTGAGCTACATAATAAACACTCACTGAGTACCCACTGGGTGAGTACACACAGACTGTGTTTTCCAGTAGACTGTGTGCTCTTGAGGGGCAGGGATGATATCATATTCATCTACACTTTCTACCTAATTACTCACAGGTATAAAGAGAGTTGCTAAGCTAGGAAAGTTGACCTACTAAATGCTGACTATATTAGAAACAAAGTTATTTTTCAAGGTTTTTCATTTAATGCAGCACATAAAACCTGTTATACGATCAGTATTTAATAAGTATATGTTCGTTTAACCTGAACTGAAAATTGAACATTTCACTCTGGGTATGCATGCATATTAACAGCACTGGACAAGGAAATAAACAGAGGGATGCTGTGATTTATTCGTGGAAACCACCTCCGTATCCCTGCCCCATACACTGGATGCGTCATAGGCTCAACAGACCGGTGGTGTCTACCCCATGAACACATTAGGGGGTCTCAGGACTAGCTGTGACCAATAGGATATTGCAGAGGTACATGCTGTTAGATCATAATGCTTCTGACTTTGGCTGGTGACTTTCAGGGCTCGGTACCAACACAAAAAAGCCGTCAGCCTTGACACAAATCTGGAATAGGGACAAAGACTTAGGTTTCAGCTGAAGGCCAAAAAGCTCAAAGTGTTATTTAGAAACAATCGAGATTTCAAAGGATGAGCAGTAAACAGAAGCCATAGGCAGGGACATCCTCTCTCTAAACTTAAAGAACACTTTAAAGAATAGAACTAGAAGCCAAGGATGGTGACAGATGCCTGAGATCCCAGCCCTTGGGGAGGCTGAAGCAGGAGGATGGAAAGTTTGAGCAAGACCTTGCCTCAAAATAAAATGTAAAAAGAAAGGAAGGGAGGAAGGGGGAGGGGAAAGGGAAGAGGGTTCAATCCTCAGTACTGAAAAAGAAAGGAAAGAAGGAAGGAAGGAAGGGAAGGAGGGAAGAAAAGAGAGAGAATAAAATTATAGGAATGCACTCTGTAAGGACAGCACCAAGTTTCTTTCAATCCAACTATCGGGGTATTGGCTCTGCCGAAGTCTAGCTGTGTTTGTGGTTGAAGCTGCTGCAGGTACTTTCTAAGCATCTCTGTACCTAAGGGGAAAGCGGATGGGTAGATCCATCAGAGAGATAACATAAGGCACAAGGTCAGCCCTGAGGATCCTGCCCAGACTGTGGGTGCCCTGGGCTGTGGTTATCCCCCAGTCCCAGGAGCTTCTACTTCCACTGGACATGTGGGTGACCTGGCTCCCAAAACCTAAGGCCAGCTCAGGTTCCCTCATGCCTGGGCACTTGGGCTTCCTTCTCTGACTCACACCCTCTTCTGATTATGACTGCATTTCTTCCCTAGGACAGGAGTCCGCATCACTGAAGCCAGCTAGGAGAAAGGTGCCTTCTTAACAACAGAGCAAAGCACAAGTAAGGCAGTCAATTCAGCCGGCTGTGCCCCAGGATTTCCCATTAAAGTTACACTTTTTAATTACTGGAGGCCTCTTCAAAGTAAATACTGGAGGATGAGCGGGGTGAATAGAGGGAAGGAGAGTGGGTGGATGGATGATACTAATACAAGGTTACTGACTTAGGAAGTTGATCTGCTAATATCTCACTCTATTGGAAACATAATTTCCAAGTTCTTCATTTCATTCCCGATATGATTTAGGGAATAACTACATTCAGAGTAGGGTCAAATAATAGACTATTAAGAATTTTCCCTGAACAGAATGAATGAGAAATTGCCTACTCAAAACTTTTATGCTAGAAGATATGGTTTGAGCAGAGGAAAATCCTAAAGCTGTTGGAAATTTTGAAGATTCATACAGAGGGTGAAGAGTCCTTTCATCTGTATGTCTTACACTGATATCTATAGAGAAATGAAAACCATGAATAAGATATAGACCACAAGTTTCATCTTTGCAGAACTGAAAAATCTTGGTAGTTTTCCTGACTCATCCTTTTGTTAGGGCATCATTTTAAATCCATTTACAAGTCTTTAGGGGTGTATTTTTACACAGTATTAGTTTGGTTAGGCAGCACATCAATTAAAACCCAGCTGGGACACAAAATGTCAGCCTCATTTCTTCAATGCCTCTTCACAAGATATACTGTAGATATAAAAAAAAAAATTTAAAGTCACCAAGTGACTTTGGTAATTATCCATATTAATCAAGATAAAACCCTAAGTTAAGAGAAACCCCACCACCCAGCCAAGCCCCCGAGCCAGGGACCAGCTAAGGAAACGCTAGAAGAGCCCTGCTTCCGGTTACCTTGACAACTGTTCCCATGGAACCAGTGTTCCAAGACAGGCACAGACAAAGCAAGGAGGAAGATTAATTCATGATCCTGTTTCCTTACCTCAAATGGCAATGAGGTCTGACAATATTGTGGCAACTACTTCTAAATTTTGGGGAGTGTGTGTTTTAAGCCTTATTCTACTCCTTTCATTGTTATTTTTAGTGGAATTCCCCCTTTCCCTTTCGCTTCCCAAAATAAGAAAGCCCCTATTTGAAAACCCCAAGAAAATTACTACCTTGGAAAATCTACCCTATAAAATAATTATTTCTCACTTAAAACCAACAGTGCTAAGGGGCAGCGGGTGGGCACACCAAGGCGAGCCGGGATGGGAGGTAGATCTTACAGACTTCATCACAGCTCTGTTGAAAATTCCCACGTGTGTGTGGGTGTGATGGGTGCCTCAGTGATCTGGGTGTACTGCCGAAGATTGGGCAGGTGGTTCGTAACCCCAACAGCCACGAAAATGCATGTGTACCCACGGCAGCTCCTCAGAGTCTGCATCTCCCATTTGGCTGTGGAGCAGAGATGGCTCAATGAACTGTTCCCAGGGTGGAAAACTTGCAAACGTGTGGGGGCAGAGGAGCAGCAAGGACAGTAGAGGTGAACACCACCCAGAAATGCAATGTATTGGGATAAAAGAAACCTCAGTGATGTCCAGTAGTGTTACTAAGCCAATTTTGGTCGCCCACCTAAGAGAGACCAGAAACGCAATTTTCCAACAGAAAGTTAGAAGCCCTGGGGAACACATACAGAGTAAAGACAAATTAATGGAAGTACCCCAAGAAATTGCCTTCTCTTTGCTTGTTTTCTTGCTGGTTTTTTAGATGCCTTTCCCCAAATGTGCAATTATCACAGCAGAATGAGAAAGAAATGGAATTGCAGTGCCCACAGCTACTGTGGATAAAGGTAGAATTGAAAATGGGGGGTGGAGGCACTGGCTAAGAGCAAGCTCTGTCGGGCACCCATGTGGCCCCCAAGACACCTGTGTACCTGTAGCACAGAAAATTCAACAGGTCGGAGGAACACTGACCCTGAGGAAAAAGCACTTAGGGCATATTTCATCTGAAGTAAAACAAACACTTTCTTGGGTTCAACAAAAAGCAAGTGCAAAATTCACCAGAAGTTACAGGGATAGAGGGAACTGCCCAGCAGGGGGTGGCGGCTCTGGCTGTGTGACCTGACCTGGGTGCTCCTCCGGTGCTATTTGGGTTTGTTGATGTTGTTTGGTTTTTGAGACAGGGTCTTGCCATGTAGTCCAGGCTGACCTTGAAATTGCTATGTAGCTCAGGTTGGCCTCGGACTTGTGATCCTCCTGCCTCAGCCTCCTGGCCTCATCTAATGTTGTTTGAGAGACCAGAGAAGTTTACCTGCCTTAGGAACGACTGCATATAGAAACAGCTCAGAGCTCACCACCTTCACCTTTGAAGAAAGGGATTCTCACCTCTAAGCTACATCTGTGGCTCAGTTGCTTCAGGAAATTGATACTCCACCAAGAGAAATGATCAGAATTAACTTTCGGTTTTGACTAAGTAAGTTGTACCACTTCAGGTATCCCATTAATTTTGCAATATTGTGGTTCATGAGCCTTGCTTATTACTTTTGCTAGTGCATCCCTGGGCTGGGGCCGAGGGTCCAGGAACACCTTGCTAAGGCAGTGGGTAGGAGATTCAGGCAGAGGGAGCAGCCTGTGAGGGAGGCCCTGGAGTGGTAAAAAGATGGGATGCTCCAGCAGCAAACAGAATCCTGTGGACAGGGAGGTGGGCAGCCCCTTGGGGTCTCTGTAAGGACAGGGAGGCTTGATCCTCAGGGCAGAGGAAGGCAGTGAACGAGGTCCTTCGTCAGGGGTTGCTGCTCTGAGCCCTGTGGGTCAGCTCTGCCGCCTTTTGATTTTCCGACCGTGACTTTGCCTTTGTGGTCCTGCCATGTGTGAGCAATGCCCACAGGCTGTCCAGGACTCTGAGGGACCCATTAAAGTCATTTTACTCTTTGCTACATTTATTTATAAGGTATAGAACAGAAATAACACCTGAGAAGCCTAACCAAAAAGTGACATTTCACTTCTGCTTATTGCCTTCCCCACTGGCCTGCCAGGCTGTGTGTTGGGGGCAGGATCTTTAAGAGCATGGAACGTGGTTCAAACCCCCACCCTGCACTGACTCTCTTGTGTGGACTTCTTCCTGCAGTTTCCTTTGCTGGCTTGCAGTCGGGTGCTCCCAGAGTCTCTCAGGACTCCAGGAGGGAAACTTGATCTTCCACAGAAACCACAGCCTGGACATGGCCACAGCACTGTGCTACGTTTGGCCTGAGAACAAGAGCGCGCCACCATGATGAGCAGGGCCTTTGTGAGAGCAGCACTCATCTGCCACCTCCTGGGCACACATGCACCTTCTGGGGCTGCCCCGGGGCAGACTTGCTGCCCCTGCTCATGGGACACCATTTCTGCTGGGTGACTCATGGTACAATGACACGGCTTCATCGCTTTTGACTCACAAAGTAAGTTCATTTTGAAAGAGCCCTTGTGTGATGGTGATGGTGAGCTCAGTTAGGGCCCTCCCAGTCCACCCCAGAGAAGCTGCCTAGCTGGTAAGGTGTTCGGTAGTGTACTTTCAAGTCAGCAGCCCCTCCAGGGTGCCCATGCAAATGACACCAGGTGCTGCCACCATAGAACAATGGGTACCAAGAACCAGCTCAGTCGCAGAAAGTGCCCTGTCCTTGCCTCAGGCGACAAGGCCCGCTTGTCCTCTCATCTTTCAGAACAGCTACAGAACCAGGCAGTCATTTCCCACAGGGGCAGAATGCATCTGGCAGGCTTGCTCTCCCCCCGCAGACCCATGGCTGCTCCCGGCAATGTCTCACGACCCCCTGACTGTGCTCTGCTTCTGAAATTTAGCATCACTATCATAGGCTGCGCGCCATGCTATCGCAGAACGTACTGTGACTTGTCTAACTTTCCCCATACTCTTGTGTGCACTTAGGCGATTTCCTATCACGAAGCACCTGGGATAAAAGTCTTCATTCACAGCCTGGCTTGGTGGTGCACACCTGCTATGCCAGCACACGGCGAGGCTGGGCAGCTTTGTGAGATCCTGTCTCAAAATAAAAAATAAAGCTAAAAAAGGGCTGAGGCTGTAACTCAGTGGCAAGGCCCTGGTTTAATTTCACTCACACACTCTCACGCGCACACATGTGTGACCCTCATTCACCTAATACAAATGTATTAGACATCTGCTCTGTACCAGTCGTTGTGGGGGCCCAATAGCATCTGAGAATGCTGCCTGCAAACAGTTTCCCTGTCAGTGACAGGGAAGGAACAGACGTGAGTACACACAAAATGGAATGTCTTCAGAATCGCAGTGGAGAAAAAAATCAAGTGGAACCAGATGATAAAGCCCTAGAAGCTGCTGATCTACACAGGGTGAGTGGGAGGGGCCAGCTGGGAAGGCGAACTTGGAAACCACAAGGGAACCCAGTGACCTTGCGGGAATGTTGGTCCCTTGTTTCCTTCCGCTGTCTCACTGTGCCACGTATGAACACAAACAGGAATCACTCCACTGAGGAAAATGACCATGCGAATCACCGTGCTGCACAGCACCGCCGAAGGGTAAACGCGCTGGAGTTATAAAATCAACAGCTGGTCAAAAGGCTACAATTGATATTATGTCTCCTCCACGTGATTCCAAACGGAAGGGTGACATGAAAAGCAGCCTCCAAAATATGTACCCTTGAGATGTAGCTGGATCTACTTGTGATGGCTTCTTTTGTCTAGAAAACTTGACAATTTTGTGCCTCTTTACAGGTTTGTCAGCAACAAAACTGGCACCAAATAAAGACTAGCAGAGCTACTGGGATCCTGAAAGCACATTTTCATTGCCTAATATTGTAATTTAATAAATTGCAATTTAAAAAAAAAATCCATGTGCCTTTAAAATACTGCCTTGAATTTCAAATGCTTAAGTACTTAATCAAACTGGGAATCAAGATCTTCACTATTTCATACCTTGGTTTTATCAAACTACATCATTTTGGGTAGCTAGATATTTAAATGTTCTCACAGTCCTGCACTTTAAAAAGTGTGTGTGTGTGTGTGTGCATACCTTGGTTTTATCAAACTACATCATTTTGGGTAGCTAGATATTTAAATGTTCTCACAGTCCTGCACTTTAAAACGTGTGTGTGTGTGTGTGTGTGTGTGTGTGTGTGGTAATCTATTTGTTGCCGTGTACAGACCCCTCAAACCTTGGTGACCTAAAACAGCACCATGTGACAGCTCCCCCTCTCTGGGTCTCAGCTCTAGGCTGGGCAATTCCCATGTTCATGTCACAGGGAGGTCACTCAGTGGGGTTCCAAGGTGGCTGGGCTGGGTTGAAGGGTCTGCGACACTGTGGCTCCCTGCAGGACAGCCAGAGAGCTGAGCCCTGCCTGCTCTCCTTGAGGTTCTTCTTTGGCTCAGGCCAGTGGCTGATGGGGAACAGATAGCAGCTTCCAGCCTGTGACTCCTAGGCCAGGAGCCTGACACAGGCCACTTCCCATTCTCTCTCTCTCTCTCTCTCTCTCTCTCTCTCTCTCTCTCCCCCTCCCTCTCATCCCTCCTCCTTTCTGTGCCTCTCTACCGTCCCTCTCCCTCCCTTTCCCTGTTCCCCTCCCTCTCCCCATCCCCCTTCCTCCCTCCCTTTCTTCTCCCTCTCTCCCTTCCTTTCCCCCTCCCCTCCCCGCTGCCTTCCCACCTCTCTCTTAGAGACGTCTCACTGTTGCCCAGGCTGGGCTGGAATCTGCAATGCTGCCTCAGTCTTCCTAAGTGCTAGGATTACAGGCATGTGCCACCACACCCAGCTGAGGCTATTATTGAAACCAACTTGTCCTTCCCTATCGGGTTAATAGTACCCCTTAGTTGTTGCATGCTCATCAGGCCCTCAAGCTCCCAAATGAGTGGAAGGCGAAGGCTTAAATAAATGAGGCAATTGAAATGATTGGGCTCCAGGGGCATCCAACCCTCTCACAGAATTTGAGATTTTCTGGGTTAAGACAGCACTTCTCTGGGTGGCCCGTATTTATTTGGTTTTCAAACAAAGCAGGAGGATACTGAAGAAAACATGGGGATCTAGCAGGACCTTGGGAAATAATTTCCCAAGTAGTAAACTATGTCAGTCAGGAGAACTACCTTATCTTTAGGTTGGTATTTATTGTGGGAGTGTGGAGCCTGCAGCAGCAGTCTCCTTGTGGTTAAATGGGGTTGGAGCCAAACGTCCTCAGCTATGGCCTTATCTTGTCCTTTGAGGTGTCACAGCTTCACATGTCAATACAGGCCTCAGCAGTGACCTGTGACTCACAGAGGTTCACTTACTATGAGTCCACTGCCCATCTCCAAACAAGGGGCCTAAGCTTCAGACAACTCACAAGTAAACATGGAGCCAACTGGTTAGTATTAAATCCTGCTCAGAGCCACTTTGTAGTGGCCTCCATCACTTCCCTCCCAGAAGATACCTTTCTTCAAGAAATCTCTGTGTGAACAGCACACAGAGCAGGCCCTGGCCTCCCCGGCTCTGGTGACACACAGATTTGACCCGGAGACAGGAGATAGGGTCTGCTCACTCAGCCCCTGGCCAGAGGTGGTGGAGTGCTGGTGACAATGATGTTAATAGCTGCCTTCTACCAAGTTCTGCTTGTAGCCCCACACTCTCCATCGCAATTCCACAATTACCCTCTTTCTATAGGTGGGGTTAGAAAGTTCAACTGCTTGCTCAGAATCCAAGGATGGCAGAGGTGTCATCGAGTTTAGGCCACATGGGGATGTTGCCTCGTGGGTCCAGTAGAGTCAGTCACACAAGCTCAACTACTTCATTGGAGAGTAATATATTAAATGCTTGACAAAGCCAGGTGTGGTGGCACATACCCGTAATCCTGGTGTTAGTGAAGCTGAGGCAGGAGGACCACTGTGAGTTCAAGGATGGCCTGAACTACACAGAGATACTCTGTCTCAAAAACAAAACAAAACAAAAACAAATGCTGGACAAGGCGCTTAGAAAACATTTGGGTTTTTTGTTTTTGTTTTTGTTTTTTTTTTGTACCGGGAATTGAACTCACAACCTTGCACTTGCCAGGCAGGCGCTGTGCTGCTGAGCTATAGTCCTGGCCCAACATTTTGGTTTCAAATCACTGAAGTGTTTTATAGTTAATATATTCTCATGGCTGAAAAGCCAAATGATACAAAATGGTGAAGAGGCTGGCTGCTGCCCCTGTTCCCTCTATCTCTGTCCCTTGGCTATTTTCTCTGTAACAGGGAACATTTTCATTATTTTTTAAAGCAAATTCAGCAAATGTGTATGTTCCTATTCCCCCGTCCTTGGCCCGCGTGTGGTTCGGTCTGGGTGGAAGGCATCCCCACGCTGGAAAGCGTCCTGGTCTTTCCTGCAGTTGCCTCATATCCCGGCACGTGGATTGCCATCTGCTACAGTTTGTGTCTAGATGTCCCCCGCAAAGCTTATGCAGTCATAGCTGGGGCTTTTTCAGAGGTAACTGAATCTAGAGTGTGTGAGTCATGCATGGTGCAGTGCTAGGATTAAGGGGGCTGGGATTAAGGGTGGGTGATTACTAAATCAGTCCACTGATTGGATTGGCACTGGCCTAATCTCAGTAGCCTGGATACAGGACAAAAAGAGGCTTGTCTTCCCCCTTTGTTACTTTTGCTACCTTGTGGGTTCCATGAACTGTTCTCCTCTGTGACACGCCTCTGCCATGTGCCTCCCTGACTTGGCTCTGGCCAACTATGGATTGAAACCTCTGCAAACTGTGAACGAAATAAACCCTTCTTCCTCTAATTTTGGGTGTCAGGTTTTTTGTCTCAGCAATGAGAGAAAAAAAAACTAAAACACCATCATTTATTTAACAAGCTCCCTCCCACCAATCCTTTGCTCTTACAGATCCATGGGAAAATGAAGATCCACAGTGCTATGTGTGCAGATTATAAAAAGGGATACAGTAGTCGGTGGCAGAATCTCTTAGTTCCTTGGTTGTTCAGTGCTGTCACCCTGTACCCACTTTGTCTTTTGTTTGTTTGTTTGGTTTTGAGGCAGGGTCTTACTATGTTCCCAGGCCATTCTGAAACTCCAGGCTCAAGTGATCTTCCTGGGCAGCTGGGACCACAGGCTTAAGCCCACATCCTTTCCCACTTTCATTATTTAATGCAAGGAATTAATCATGTTCGGCTTAAAATCCTTGTAGCATTTTTGAAGTCTTCTGATCAGGGGAACCCCTGCTCCTACCCCCAGACCCGGGAACAAGAGCCCATGGGTGTCTCCGTGTTGTCTCTTTTCATGCCTCTCCTCTACGCTTACTCATAGGCTGAATTCTGCCTGCGCACCTCAGTCCTTGAGAACATGCTGGGCCCGTCTGGTGTCTGAGAAGCTGTGTTTTGGGGACAAGGTATCTGGGAATGTGTGTTCACTCTGCTACATTTGTGCCACTTAACCCCTGCAGTTATACTCTCCAAGCCCACAGCTCAGCAATATCTGTGACCACGGACAAAGAGGGTGTAGGAGGCAGATTCCCAGAGTCGGCATTCCAGCACCTCAGGAGGGTCTTTCCTGGCTTTCCTGTACTCTTTTTTTTTTTTTTTTTTTTTTTTTTTTTTGGCTTTCCTGTAC